TATATATATATATAAGGTAAAAAATAGCAATTTTATAAGAAAGGATCCTTCGTTTCTTTCTTTTCAACGTGGTAGCGTTCACTGCTTCAAATCTTACAACTTCTAGTACCTGTATAATCGTTTATGATTAGTAGCATGTATATTAATGATGTTTGCGTTTGTGTATAAGAAAGGTTTTCTTTTAGCTTGGTGTGGTGGTGGTGTTGCACCTCGGAGGGGTCATCATAGGTACGTCGCAGTTATTCGGCCATTTGTCAACGGTCCATGGTCAAAGTCAACTTCATCCCCCTTTATCTGAACATAATAGCGTGGCACATCTGCATTCAGCACACTTGCCCCAAATGAGGTTGCCACGTTAATCCCACCCCCTTGTGTCGCTCCACCGTAAACCTCACGCTCACGCGATTTCTGGACCGCATGCGCCGTAGCTTGGACGGATGCGTACACCATCGCTTCTGTTTGCTAAGATATATTTCCCCCATCGTGCCAAGCCTGCTTCTGGATACCACTCAAACCAGTGTTGAATCTAGCAAAAGGATCTCCAAAAGCAGTATGAGCACACCCCCGTTTCGTCAGTCGAGCACTTATCGCTTTTGTCGAAACAAAGCGACGTTGCCGTCGTGACCCTAGCCTGTCCGGAAATACAAAGGATAAGAGGACGAAAACGATAGATTACTATGAAGATATACATAGGTTTGAGTACATAAATAAAAGTAAAAAAAGAAAAATACAGAAAGTAGATAAAAAATGTTAAGTAAAAGAGTTTCGGGCTATTGCCGTTGGGCGCCATTGTTATGTCACTGGCTATTGGGGTAAGGTTGATTGGCAGTCAGGCATGCTGGCATACCGAGCTAGCTCGTCGGTTGGGGGGGGGGGGGGGGGTCACCTCCAAGAATATAGGAGAATAGAAATATAAAGGAGATAGAAGAGGCCCGTCCGAGTCAGGTGGAGTCAGCCCACCCCATCTACGATCTTGTAGCCTTGGACTTTGCCGTGACTCCTACAATTGGCAAAGTCCCCTAAACCTGACCATAGTTCGTACGTCTATTGACAAGTCATGTCCAAGTCAGTAACGTCAATCAGTGTCGACACCCATTTCCCCCCTGTTGCACCAGTGCAACACCCACACCAATACAAAGAATCAGCAAGCCATAACTTCTCGTTCAATCCTGATCACATCATCCATATATTTCCTCCTAAGCATATACTTTACATAGTCTATTATTTATATATATATATAAATGCAGCTACAACTAAACCTTATTCACAAATTCAATTCTTCTTTCTTCTTTTCTTAACTTACAAAATCCAAGTATTCACTTCTACCTTTCAATGTTTCTAACTAAGCTAAACTTTATTCACAACTTTAATTACTAAGAACTAGGGTTTCCTTAACATACAAAATCCAAGTATTCACTCCTACCTATCTATGGCTATGTATACAGTATATTTTGCTTTGCTGCCTTTATGCTTGAGTGCACATTTAAGATACCTTCCCCAAAATGTGCATCAGAGGCATTATTTTAAACATTTATAAGGAAACTGCTCCGATAGATGCATTCAACATACCTGCACATTGGCGATACCTGCCTTAAAAATTGTGCAACTAGTATCAATTATCAAAGAAAGTATTACGTTTACCTGCACTGGCCCTACAATTACCTAATTTTACAATCTTTTATTTATTTTGCTCATCTCGCGGAACAACGAAAATGGCTATCAATTTATGTAGTTATATAGATAATTAGATACTATTCAGTAAAAATTTCGCTTGCAGTAATTTCTACGTGGTAAGTGCTTCTCCATTATTTGGTTTCATAGGGATTTGGATACCTTCCTCATTGAAGTAGTAAAGAAAATTCGCTTAAGTGCCTTTTTCGGTTAAGTGCACAAGTTTTTCGTGCAAAGAAGGATGTGCAGCTAAGCAAAATATACTGTATATCTATTTATCTAACATATAGGACGCTTGGCGCCTTTGCAATGTCAAATAAGATCCAGGTAAAAAAAAATTTCAAAGATCCAAAACGAACCGAAAATTTAAAAGAAAGATACATAAGTATGTAAATATACAC